TTCTCCTGTGTTCACATGTGTATGAATGGAAGTAAATGGAGCACAAAGTCTAGTTTGATGGCACCTTAAAAAAACATCCCTATACCTCTTCCTCATCTTTACAGCTGGATCTCATCCAGCCATAAATCACCGTCAGCCATAACACTCCTCATCACTGCTTGTCTATCATTACACTGACAGAAAACTTCAGTTTTATGCTGACTTTTAACATCCTGAATACAGAACCAGGAGAATCAGACGTAATGTGTCAAATTCTTTTGCCACATGCATGTACAATTCTAGTTGTTCTGTAAATCTAAATAGACTTGCTGAAATTACTCAAACTCCATGCAGACACAAATTCCGAACTGTCAGCATAGTGTTCCTTTGCGCTCAGGGAAAGACACTTGGAATTCTAAAATGCTCTAACAAAAGACAACGTGTTACCTGCCATTTAAAAAGTTGTATCTGTTGTTTAAATCAGTTGTATCTGAAGGCACTCTCACTTCAAAATTGCACTTGAAATTTCAAGTAATAACAGGAAAAGAATGTCAAGAGAACCTCCACACACTCGAATGATGTTTCAGCTGCTTTTGTCCATGCAATGAAAGTCATTGGGTTCCAAAACAAAACCAGCCGAAACATTTTTCAGGATATCTTCTTTTGTATTGCGCAGAAGAAAGAAAGTCATACCGTACGGGTTTGGAATGACATGAGGGTGAGTAAATGATCGCATTTTGTGTGTGTGTGTGTGTGTGTGTGTGTGTGTGTGTGTGTGTGTGTGTGTGTGTGTGTGTGTGTGTGTGTGTGTGAACTATCCCTTTAAATATTATAGCATGAAAAGATGCCAATTTATCAAGAAACATTGTTTCTTTTCTGCAATCAAAATGTTGAAAACAAACACAGGTTGGGAATATTAATTTTAACTTTTAGTATTACTTTTCCTCCAGCAAAACTTCCTCCAGTGATGTTTTTGGTGGGAAACAACAACACAAATATCCTAATTATTAGAAATGGATTTGAAACTTTAAACCATATCATCCACTTGGATAAAAATACAAAATCTGTACATTTTCAAAAGAAAGTTGAAAGTATCAAAAAGTTGATACCCTCATGTTGTCAATATCCTAGTTAGATCTTTATTTCCATCATATTAGGCATGAAGAAAACATTTTCTTGCCATTGCGTGAATAATTCACACTCACAGCTACGGACGATTGCAGTCTCTCTAATTAACCTCTGCTGCATGTCTTCGGATTGTGGAAGAGCAGTGCTACCCACTGAGCAACTGTGCACAAAAACAAACATGACTCTGAACCATATGATTATTTAAAACATCACTACTAATGTCTTTCACTGGATCTACACGTTTCACACTAACATCTAAACACATCCCACTCCCTTGTTCCTCCTTATTGTTCATCTAATATTCATATCACAGCATCTTACGCTGATCAGCTTCCATTGGTTATACCTTTTTTTGCTGTCTTCACATACAGTTGGTCTCTTCTCCTGCCACATACTTTGTTCCTATAGTGACGCACTTTGTGACATCTACTGTTTAACCTTTGTCAATTAACCAAAGAGAATGATCATCATCACATGATTTTCTGTTTCTACAAGAATGTTATGGTTCATGCATTCAAAACCAAATTCTTTCTCTGTTTTTATAATCGTTTCTTTTTTTATAATCGTTACTGTGCTGTATGTATTTATTTGTACCTGGGGACTGCAGATGTAAATTAGCCTAAGGCTAACTCTGGTGTAATGCATCAAATGTTTACATTTATGTTATTAATTGCACATGGTCCCTTTTAAATAAAAATCAAATCAAATCAAATCTTATGTCTTAATTATCTGTCTCAATCTTATACTTTCTTTGTATGTGCCACATGGACACTGCACTCCTTATACCAGACCACTCCAGCCAAAATGTTGTTTTGACTAAACTTGTCCATTAGTGTTACTCTGGCCATTTAAAAATAATAATACAAAATTGTGAATTAATAAAAAACGCTTTGAGAATTGCCAGATCCTGGCTCAGACAAACAGTGTATGCAGCCAGTTTGCAGCATTCTCTAGTGGCACATGTCCATGGAAACAGATTTCATTTTCAGAGCAGCCCCGCCACAGACCTACCGGTCATCTTACATTTCATACAGTTGATTGATAAAGAACATGAAGCAGGGCAACAACTCACTGCGTGCTATAGAATGCAATTATTTTTTTAGTTTTAGTTTTAGTTATAGTTTTTGTTTCGTTTTCATTAACTTTCTATTTGTTTCTATTAGGCTATGTTTACACGGAAACGATCTGAAGAGAAAACGCAAAAGTGGCGTTGCGTTATCACTTTTTATTCTGTGTTTAGACGAGCGTTATGGGTGGGAAATCCACGTGCATATGGTGACGCAAAAGTGTGTGAAATTCGATGTAGTATGCACTCCAGGCAGCTAGGTGGCAATGTGAAGCACTGCCACACAACAACACCAAGTCCGCGCACCTGCGTACAACCTTCACTGTCTAGCAGACTTTTGCGTTTTTACCCTTTAGATGGGAACGCGATGGTGGAGCGTTTTTAAGATTTCCACCCTGGAGGGTGGTTTCACTTTTGCGTTTTTAAGCCCCAAAAACGCCGTCGCCGTGTAAACGAAAGGCACATCCGCTAAAATATTTTTACGTTTTCACCCGCGAGCGTTCTGTTTTCCTTTGTTACTATGCTCCTCGATTCTTACTATGGTTTCTGATTAATGAGTCATCACCTGTTTGTCGTTTGAGTTCATCACCATGTGTATTTAAGTTTTTTCTTTTCATTCAGTTGTTGTCTGTTTGTGTATGTGTGGAACATGCTTTTATGCTGCCTTCCTGCATTGGATTAACTAAGTTAGTTTTATTAAAGAACGTTTTTGTTTATTGAAACCTGTTTGAAAATTTTTCATTATCTTCATCTGGATAGATCGTGACAGAATACCAGACCACAAAGGAATGGAGATTGCCTCCATAAATGTAGCGCCTATGGGGAATTTTTTCTGGCCCTCAGGGGCCACAATTTGTATTTTTGAATTATCTGGGCATCTGCCATTGGGCTGCCTGCAGTGACATCACGCTCATGGAGGGGTTCTGGGTCGGACTTGATGACAAGAGCCAGGTGGTGATGCCGAGAGGAAACTCCTGCTGGACCCTGGCTGAGTATATCAACTTTGCCTTATGGGTGGAAGGATCTTCTTTTACAGTGAGCGAGGTAGTTGAGGATCCCACTCCCAGCATCCAACCCCACTTCCCATCCATCATGACCCCAGAGCCAGACCCAGCACCCACTGCGGAGATGGAGCCAGAGCCCACCACAGACCGAGAGACCCAGCCAATGCCCACTATAGAGCCTGAGCCAGTAGCCTCGTCCGTTCAGGAAGAGAAGCCCGAGGTCCCGACTGACCAGGTGTGTGAGCCGGCCATTACATCCGAGCCAGTGGGAGGGTTAGTGGAGCTGGAGGAGAATGATTGGCTTACAGACTGGAGTTCAGAGGTAATGCTTCCCACCCTGATTCCCACCCATGTAACCTCTACTGCCGTTTGAAATTCCACCCATCAATGAATCATCATTTTCATTGCTGGAATCCCCATCTAGCACAATATTGTATTCGCCGCTACCATCCCTGTGTGTTTCAACGAAGCCAGCCACTTCTTCGGGCCCACTTCCGCTGGCTCCCCTTTAGCTCATCCAGTGGCTCCACCATGCAACCTGGATCCACCTTGGGACTTTGAGGCACTATCTCCGGCGTGGCATAGGGATTCCCTGGCTCCACCTCATTCGTCTGAGCCCACAGCTCCACCTTGGACCGTCTACCAATCGGCTCCGCATGGGGGCCATCGTCCTGTCGGCTTCACAGGGCTCCCTTATCCCACTGATTCCACCTGGGTCAGTCATTGCCACGGACTTTCTGGCCTGTCTGCTGCCCTCCAGCCCTCCGGCTCCTCCATCCCTCAGGCTTCACCGGGGTACTTGTTCACACTGGCGTCACCTCCGTCCATCAGCCCCCAGGCTCCACCTTGGCCGCTCGTTGCCGGGGATCCGCCTCGGCCCCCGTGTCCATCAGTGTCGCCGGTCTCTTGGTCCATCGGACTGCAACTGGAACTCACCATCTCCCTGCCTCACCTCAGTTGGTCGGGCTCAAGTTTCCACCGTGGCTCCTCCCTCCATCAGTTCCACCCTCGTCCTGGCTGCCTCCCACTATGCTCTGGGTTCTCGTTGGCCGTCTACTCATCCATGGATTCTACCACCATCCACTCCTCCATGGACGGTTCCACCGTCTACTCCACCCTGGTCCATCTGTCTGACATCTCTGCCTGTTTACAGGCCTTCACCATCTCCTCATCCACCTCCAGAGCCCCACCCCCACCTGCCCGCAGTCGAACTGTTATGGTGCGAGGTTATGTCACAAAATGTATATTTTAGTTAAGACAAAGGTCATGTATACAATTTTCGCAATTAATATCATGATTTCTGACCAGAATTTAGAAAGCATATAAATAAGCATATAACATGTAAAACTGAACAGTAATAATGTCAAATTCAGTTAATATGTTTAAAAATCATTTAATTAATATCTTAAAGGGACAGTTCACCCAAAAATGAAAATTCTGTCATCTTTTCCTCATCCTTATGCTGTGCCAAACTTGAATAATTTTAGAACGCAAAAGATATTTTGAGAAATGACTCAGCTGATTTTGACTAAATATAACACTTTCTCATAAATCATTCCTTCTATACAGTACATTTTTGTCTTATGTTGGATAAAATATTAGACTTAACATTGTTAAAAATGGAAATCATATTAGTTTACTTTGGTTTAAGCTTTGGTCTAATTTGTTTTCAGTTTTGTGATGTTAATGTTTTTATTGTTCATTTGAAAAAAAAAAAATTATAACCATTGCAATGTGAGTTTTCCATTCACAGAACTGCATCACTCCCGTATCTGTGTATGGTCTCTGCAGAAGCCTTTGAAATGGCACACCCCGCAGTGTAAATCCCTTTAGCCTCTACTCCAAACACATAAATACACACAAAACTCGTACTCCTGCTGCACCGCATAAAACCTGCAGAATCTATACCTAACCTCGTTCTTACGAAAAAACACTGAGAACAAATGCTGCATACACTCCACGTAATATTACATAACCAGAAGGATTCAATTATGGTAATGGCTTGTTCTGTGCCATCCCTCTGCTGCCAGGGAGCTTGATACAGATTGTGTGGCGAAAGGTTCCTGAGGATTTGCTAGAAGGTTTCGGATAGTCCACACTCTGATTAGCATTGCTGTGAATAAGCTTTATACTTCGATTTACATTATAACCACTCCTAATGCTAACAATGGGGCTAGCAGGTTCAGTAATACAGCCAGGGCTGTGCAGATCATCAACAGTGCTCATGCTATGACTAATACATTTGATGTTCTGAATGGTATTTTCTGCTGGGTAACTGCTTACTCCGTTGCTAATATCAGTTGCAACAATGCTAACATTAGCTTCATCACACAAACCTGCATCTGTCACACCAACATCATCAGGGGGAGTACAATGTGTCCTCACCTGGACTGACATTTGCTGTGGTGGTGTAGAAAGTAACACTAGCGGAACATTATGACCGTAAAACAGTGTCTGTGGGATATGTACCTGAACAGATTCTCGCACTTTTCCCTCCTTTTCTACACTGAATCCTGGCTCAGCTTTTTGCTCTGTTTTCATTGGCATGTTTGCGGTTTGATCTGTGACTTTAGAATGTTTTAGCATCACTCTTCCAGCAAAAGGAAAGACTGTAATTTTCATTCTGCTCACTTTCTGCCTACCTGAGGCATGGATGTTTGAGCAAGCATTTTTTTTACGCTCCAGCTGTTGCTGACTTACAGAGTTTTCTCCATTGGTACTGGATTGCTTTTGTGTCGTTGTGGGTGTGTGTGTTAGTGTTTGAGTCACCTGGGATTCCTGTATATCATTGCCAACCTGATTTGTCAGTGGGGCGGTCCATACACTGCAGGGATTCAGTGAAATCGCTTGCGAGTTTATATCAAGATTGGGCTCTATCTGGTATGTGGCGGGTTGTAATGGATTCACACTAAACTCCACGCTGCACATAGACACAGATTGTCTTGTTGCACCTTTAACCTCACCAAAGGACTCACAGCTCATGGCATCCTCACCCTCAGGCCTTTCTCCATCCTTCACTACTTTCTCTCCAAAACAGTCATGAAAAGATGCTTCCAATTCACTCTCTTTCTCATTTTCAGTCTCTTGATCTCTCTCTCTCCAAATGTCCTCTTCCTCTTCGTAAGTAAAAGTACTTGTCCACCGCTTTCTGCATATTTCAGGTGTGAGAGGCTGCAGTCTCGCAGCAGCTCCGAAAAGAAAAGGCCGGGACTGTGTATCTTGAGGGCTGGGGATTGGATCGGCAGAGCTAAGGGACAACGTACTATCCAATGAGCTGAGAGAAGAAGTGGTTGTAGATGACAGACTCGACATGCTGGCTAATCTCTGTGCAGGATGACGGAAGCGCGTGGGGATTTGTGGCGACTTCCAAAAAGTGTAACGTCGTCGCCTGGTACCCATTCCAGAATTGGGTGGTTGTTGTTCTGGGCTCAGCCCCATGGGGCCTTGTGACTGCTCATTTCTGCTGTCTTTTACAGCGGCATCATAGCTGGATTGGCGGATAACAGGGGTATGAGTCGGTGCCGGCGTTTGGGGTGTGGAAAAATACATGGAAGGCTCAGAGAGGCATCGATCGCGTGATTGGCTGAGATCCCCAACTCCCAGCATACTCACAGAAGCACTGGAACGAGATGAAATGGAATCCAGTGTTCCACAGCTGTAGGCGCCTTCTGTTGAAGGCATATCAGTTTGAAAGGGCTGGGGGCTCCTCTTCTCTTTCAGGGAAAGAGCAGCCAAAGGGAGGTAAAGTGGATGAACTTCAGGCAATTGGGAAGAAACGGTGAGGTCTTGATCTGTGTCCTCTGAAGAGGAGTGCTGAAGATGAAATGAAGCATCTAGAGAAGAGAAAGAATTGTAAAATAGTTCAACATTTATTGCAGCTTTGTCATTTTAACATACATATAAAAAGTAATAGATAGTAATTTATATATTACCTATATAAGATAGGTAATATAAACATTTTCGGTAAAAAAATAATTAATAGCTGTAAATTAATATGAACTAAATAATAATTGAATATAATTAAAACACACACACACACACACATATATATATATATATATATATATATATATATATATATATATATGGTGTTTGGAAATGAATGCATTCAAATGAAAATGTTTCTTGTAAGGTTTGTACATCTGAAAAAAAAATCCAACCTAATACAAATTAAACATTTATAAAGCTCATAAAGTCATTTACAGTACATGCACAAAAAACTGGGATAGTCATGACAGTGGTAAAGAATACAATTTAAAGCAGTTTCCCAACCCTGTTCCTGGAGGCACACCAGCTCTACACATTTTCGAACTCTTCCTAATTAAACACACCTGATTCAACTCATCAGTTCATTGGTAGAGAGGAACAGGGTTGTTTAACACTGGTTTAAAGCAGGGCTATTCGAACGAGTGAATGAACGAACTAATAGCGCTTTCATGTGTACTACTGTACACCCAAAGTGCTTTACAATCATGTCAGGGGTCTCTCCTCAACCACCACCAGTGTGCAGCATCCACATGGATGATGCGACGGCAACCACAGAACAACAGCGCCAGTGCGCTCACCACACACCAGCTATAGGTGGAGAGGAGAGGGAGTGATAGAGCCAATTCAATGGATGGAGATTATTAAGAGGCCATGATTGGTAAGGGCCAATGGGGGGAATTGGGCCAGGACACCGGGGTTAAACCCCTACTCTTTACAAGAAGTGCCATGGGACATAACAGTTTCAATAAATAAGCTAAAGTAAACCTAAAAAGTAAAAGTATTGTATTTACCTGGAAATGTGATACCCAACAGTATTCAGATAAGACCATAATAAATAAAAACTTGATAATTTACAGCTGTGTACAACTATTTTCCTTGGAACAAATATATAAATTATACAAGCTCGTAGCTATTTGTAAGAATTATTTTATTTATAATTATTAGCCTATATTATAGGCTTAAAAAATAAAATGTGACAGTGAGACTGACTTGTTTGACACTTTGTTTGACACTTTGACCTGACCATGTTTTGCTTAAATATTTTTTGCTAATGCAACCTTTTTACACCACAGACTGAACAAAATTAAGCATTGCTTAGTAATTGGTGGACCTAAATTGGTATTATCTAATTTAACAGCTGACAGCTATTCAACCTAATTCATTTGAGAGACAGTCTAACAGAAGGATGGCCAAAACCAGTGAAATATCAACTGATTTGATAACTCTGAGTTCTTGTTATATTTTATTACCATTGTCTAAACTATAGTGAATAAACTGTGATAATGTGAGAAATGTTAAAGGTGTCTGAATAAATTTTGGTTTGACTGTATATGTTTAAAAAAGCAGTAGCATAAACACTGGTAAAAACCAGTACAGTATACATACAGTACACCTTCACAAAGAAACTGCCATATGTATAACAAAAATGAATTATATTCCCTTACCCACCTAATGAATCTAATACAATATATATTAATAACATAGTATTTCACATTTTCCCAAACCTTGGTAAATACAGTCAGTGTTACTACAGTACATTCATGCTAAATGTTTGTAAAGGTGGTGATTGGGGATTTAAAAGTCTTTGTTTATGGCACAATGTTTCTCCTGTTTTCCTCATCAGTCTTGTTGGGAATGTTACGGCCGTTTCAAAAAACTATAGTTTAATCATTAATTCAGACCGTTATGCAAGCGCGTTTGGCCAATTCACCGAAAAGAAAGAATCGACTCAAAAGAAGGATTGATTCATGAATGATTGAAATCGCTGGTTCAGTCGACAGAAATACGGGACGCACAGTGCGTAGCCGTACAGCTGCAGGCGCCATGCACTGCCACCACGTATCAATTTAGCCGCACCGTCAGGAAAATAGGGGGAGGGAGGTGGGGGTGCCCTCGGGCCGGATGGAGATGATTGGTGAACCAGATTTGGCTTACGGGCCGCCAATTGAATAGCCTTGGTTTAAAGGGTTTCTGTGACTTTAACCTGTACAGGTGAAACTGGAAAAATTAGAATATCGTGCAAATGTTCATTTATTTCAGTATTTCATAACCTTTCATAACCTTATTTCATAACCTTTATTTGTTATAATTTTGATGATTATGGCTTACAGCTCATGAAAACCCCAAAGTCAAAATTAGAATATTGTAAAAAGGTTTTCATATCTGTAAGCCATAATCATCAAAATTATAACAAATAAAAGCTTGAAATATCTCACTTTGCATGTAATGAGTCTATATAATACATTAGTTTCACCTTTTAAGTTGAAGTACTGAAATAAATAAATTTTTGCACGATATTCTAATTTTTCGAGTTTCACCTGTATATTGCTAATTCTTAGATGAAAACCACCCCGCAGCTAACTCCAATGGCCCGAATCAGGCTATCAACTTCGCAGCAACCCCTCAATTTCGTCCTCCTGCCAGTGGATTAAGCGATTCCTCGAGCATTGCTTCTACCTCTTCAGCCCTGCCAACTTTTCATCAAACGGCACAGACACCATTTCAGGATGTTCCCGCTCCACCTGAAACTTCATTTTCCACCTTTCTACAGCAGCCCAAACCCAGTCATTTGGTAGGCGTTTTGTTTCTCCAGCCACTGCTACGGTGTCCCCTCATATCAGAACAAACATCATCCAAGGTAAGGACATTAACCTGGCTTCACTTCTGCTTCCCTCGCCTGCTGCTGACAGGAAAATGGTCGACAGTGGTGACGTGGCAGTCCTTCTTAAAACTTCCGATCCATCCGAGATTACTACGGAATCTTTCTTTCGCAGAATTCGTCATTGCTTTCAGCATTTTCAAAGACATTCTGTGTCAGGTTTTCCCAGATCGGAGGGAAGAGTTGGATCTTTATTTAGCCATGCTGGCAGACTTTAATCAAAGATACGGGGGTACACTATTCTACGAATACCATAAATCATTCTCCGTCAAATCAGCTTCCTTCATTTCGCTCTATAACTCCAGACTAGACTGGTCTGTTTCTGATACTGAACTGCTCGTTCGTCATTTTGGCGGCCAAAAACGCTGGCTTGTGTAGCGCTTACGGACACACGGCTCCTTTTTGCCCGAAAGCATTCACTAGCCAAGAGTCGCACGCTGTCCATGGCGCTGAGAATGTAAGGCTCCCACACGACAGCAGGAAACGTTATATCGCAGATCTTAAAGGTGGCATTATCTGTAACAAATTTAATGAATCTGTTTGTTCTTTTCCTCAATGTAAATATGACCACATCTGCAGCTTTTGCAAGGATCCGCACCCAAAATTGGTTTGCTTACGCCGGTATAAACCTGCAATCCGAGGAAAAGGGAGGAAATTCTGAAAATCCACCCTTCTACTCCCATTAACATTTCTAATCTCTCTAGCTACCTCTACTCTCACCCTGATCCGACTTTTGTCGATTATCTAATCACCGGTCTGTCTCAAGGGATTCAGGTGGGCATTCTTTCCCATCTCACTACCTCTTTCATAGCTAAAATTTAGCAATCAGCAATTACTGAACCAGATGTGGTTACTAATCTGCTAGAAAAAAAGAGGCCAATAAAAGTTATGTCATTGGCCCTTTCGCTTTCCCTCCTTTCTCGCCTTTTCGTATCAATTACATCGGCGTCGCAACACGGAAATACTCTGGCAAAAAACGTCTCATTTTTGACATGTCTTCTCCACATTCCGTCACCAAAGCGAGTGTTAATGAATGTATACCTTTAGCACCCTTCTCCCTACACTACACTCCCTACAGATACAGTGATTCTGTGAGTCGGTGTTTGTGTTTGAAAGCTCCGTCGAATCAATTCATTAATCCTTGATTTTCTTTTTACCACTCATTTATAAACAAGCACTTTCTATTTTTATATCATGGGAACTTATCCTTGATACTATTCCTTATAAAAAACAATCGGATTGCTTTGATATCGCTACTTAGACCCAACTTTGCGAATCTCGGCTACTAGCCTTTAGTCCGCTAGCATTTCACGCGTGGCCTCGCGCCTATTGACCGTCTGATTTTACACCCGTTTCACTGAAAGGATACAGGTTATATCCAGCATTTCAGTCCTAAATTACTAGTGATATTGGTAGTATCACTACTAATCTACTGTTCATCTGTTATGGCGAACATATCAGATGTGTGTCTAACGTTACCTCTGAGTGCAGGTGAGGACACATTCGAACTCATTTCGGTACGATTGGAGCTTGAATCGGTGGAGAAACAGATCCGTGGTCTGCTAGAGAGGCAAGCCGAGCTGCGGGATCGGCGATCAGCGCTTGAAACGTCACGCGCCGATGCACACAAGTCAGTGGTTAGTAACTTTTTGACTCCGACTTCGTCCACTCCGTGCGTTTCTCTGCCCAGGAGGACGCGATCATCTCTGGCATCATTCACTCCGGCACCAACCCAACACCATGGACCCTGGGTGATCCCACAGCGGAAGACACGAGCCAGGACCAGAGCAAGAACCTCTCCGCCCCTCCCGGTCTTCGAGATCTCCACCCGGAACCGCTTCTCCCCTCTTCGCGAGTCGGAACGCGACGACGCCGTGATCATCGGCACTTCCATGGTCCGTCATGTCCGTGCTACCTCAGGTAAGGGTAAGGTGCGCACTCACTGCCTTCCTGGTGCTCGTGTACTTGATGTCGCCGCACAGGTTCCCGAGATCCTGAACGGTGAAGAGCGCGTCGGAGCTGTGGTGCTTCACGCTGGAACAAACGATATCAGGCTGCGGCAGACGGAGGTTCTGAAGAAGGACTACAGGAGCCTGATCGAGGCGGTACGCAACACAGCGCCTGAGGCAACGATCATCGTGTCTGGACCGCTTCCCACGTACCGACAAGGACAGGAAAGGTTCAGTA